ATATATTTCTAAACTGTTAGTTTAAAAATAAACCTGAACATCCTACAGTATTTTTACAGTCTTCGTTTTACAGTTAAAATATGTTTATTAAATAAAGTCTAATGTTACAACTAATCATGGATCCCTTTAAGGTATCAGAGACCAAAGGTGGTTTGTGCATTAACAAAAAAATAAATAAATAAAATCCCATTTTAGTGTTTTTATTCATTCTAAAACATGTAACCACCTGCACCACTGAACTCCTCAGCTCCAGAGAGTGGGACGGTGTGGATCCATCAGTCAGAGGTCGACTACAAAACCGCAGTGAAGATGGAGAATTCTGGTACGTCTTCTCCAAAGAGTAAATTATTTTATTCAGAATCGTAAAATACAAACCTTCTCCATTATACTCTGTGTTGGTGAGATTTATTTTTGCTTCAAATATACCTTTTAAATAAACAAAACACAGATCAAAATGAAGTGTCGTCAGTTTTCATTAAAATAAACTTTCAAGTTTTTTTAAGAGTAAAAAAAAATGTAATTCTTTATGTTCGTCTGCTAGGATGTCTTTCAATGACTTCCTGAGAGAGTTCAGCCGCCTGGAGATCTGCAACCTGACGGCAGACGCCCTGAATGACAGTCAGCTGAAGAAGTGGAGCTCGTCGCTCTTTCAGGGGGAGTGGAGGAGAGGCAGCACTGCTGGAGGCTGCCGCAACTACCCAGGTTCTGAAGCAGCCCAGGATTTCTAAAGCCAAAGAGCGGCTCAGCTCAAAGGAAGTGGAACAAGCTGACCTTCTTTTTTTTCCCCTCACGTCTGCAGCAACCTTTTGGCTGAATCCCCAGTTTAAGATCGAGCTGACGAACCCGGACAAACCCGGACAACGAGACTGTAGCTTTCTGGTCGCCCTCATGCAGAAGGACCGCAGGAAGAAACGACGAGAGGGTCAGGATATGGAGACCATTGGGTTTGCTTTGTATGAGGTCAGCAGCAACCCCCCTCAAAAATGATGAAAATCTTTTAAAACTATAACTAAATATAAGCATGTTTGAATGTGTCTAAATATATATTTATGCTTTATTTTAACCACTTTTCTTCTTTCTTTTTTGCAGGTTCCAAGTGAGGTAGGAGATTAACAAATTTACTTTCACGGATATTTTTTTGTATTTTTTATATATTCGTCTAATTACTGCTACATGTTCTACCAAATTTCAGATATTGTTTCACCCTAATTGTACTCGCTCAATGCAAATGATTATGAAAATGTTTTGTGGAATTCCCCAAACACACGCCGACTCTTAAATCTCCTCTCAGTTTGCTGGGAAGTCGGGCGTCCACCTGAAGCAGAACTTCTTCCTGACTAACGCCTCTAGAGCTCGCTCCGAGCAGTTCATCAACCTGAGGGAGGTCAGCTCGCGGCTGAAGCTGCCGGTTGGAGAGTACATCTGCRTCCCCTCCACCTTCGAGCCGCACAAAGAGGGTGACTTTGTCATCCGGGTTTTCTCTGAAAAACCTGCAAACGCAGAGTGAGTGCTAGGAAAATGATCACTTTAGAAAAGAACGTTGGTTATGGGATATAGAGAGGATGAGTTGGTTTGATTTGGTGTGAGTCAAAAATCACTGGACATCCTTTTATTTTAATCCAATATGGTGGCTTTACAGATTGAGGTCATGTTCTGGACATAACCTAAAACATAGATTCTTAACCCATGGGCTGCGGCCCACAATTGGGCGGTGAGCGCCACCTTGAGGGCCTCAAAAGAACAGTTTTTAACTTTGGGCCGCAGAGGGCCGTCGGACCGCATTGATTTTTAATAAGGTGCAATACACTTTCTCACCACTAGTATCAGTAGTGCGCCACTCAGTTGTTTAACAACTTTTTTATATGTAGAAGAAGAACCTTAGAAACCTGCCGAAAATGGAAACGTATTTTTAAATGAAAAGTAGAAGCAAAAATGAAGGTAACCCAACATAAAATGCCAAAGTTTGTTACTAATATAAAGTGCAGCTTCTGTTTTTACCATGCAATATTTTAAAAGTTCAAAACATTATCAAATACAGTTGCAAATACAACTATATTTTCATTTGCACTTTATCAAATTATTTTTGTGGTTAATTTTTTTAATATTTTTAATATATTTTAAAGAAACTTTAAACTTGTCAAAAAGCTGTTGTTACTGTTATTGTTTGTCACTAATATGAAGAGCAGCTTCTGTTTCTACCAGACAAAAGTTTAAAAAGGCTATATTTTTATTTGTACTTTATCAAATTTATTTTTACAGTTTTATTGTATTTGAAACATTTAAACATTTTTAAATATATATATACTTTTATTTGTGTTAAGCCTGAATGGTCTGTTGACTGACTGTTCAAATAAATGTTATGGGCAGGTTACAATATAAAAAATTGTCATAATCACATCTTGTGATTATTTGATAGGAGTTTTACTTTTAAGTGTACTTAAAATACACTTATTTGTAAGTGTATTTAATTTAGTTATAACACAAATACAATACAAATTAAACCAAGGTTTAGAATAAATATCATTTTGATCCACACATTGGTAATGTCTGACTGGGCCTCGTGCCTCTTTATGTTCAATAAATTGGGCCCCGAGGTCAAAAAGGTTAAGAACCCCTGACCGAAAAGAGTCTCCTCACCCATTATTTGCAGGGGTGTTCAGATGTGTCGTCTTCCCATTTCTTTCTGAAATAAAAGGGTGTTCTGAGATTTTTGACTCACCCTGTAGATGCCACCCTACATAGGTTAAGACACAAATGACCAAAAAAGGTACAAAAAGTACAAAATTGGAATTTAACATAAAAGACAATTACCCATGGGTAGCTAAATTTTTTTGCCAGGGGTCAGTAAAATGCACTACTACTGGGTACAGCATACAAAACAATACACACAAACTGTGTTAAAAACATCAGATCAGAAAAAGCAGTAATGTTTAAGGATCTGAACATTATCAAAATGCTAAACACTGAAATTAAGAACATCTCTTATCTTCAGCCCTCCAAGACATGGGTATAGTAATATTTTTGAAAATGGCCTTTTAAAATAGACTTTAAAAATACTTTAGTTGTGTTTTTTTAATGCAACTGAATGTGTACTAAGTTTTCATTTATTTTCAGTTTGTGTTTTGCGACTCTTAGACACTATAAAAATCAGGTCTAAAAGCATTTAAAAAATACAAACATTTATTTTTGTTTTTTTTTTTTCGTTCAGGGAGCTGGATGACAAAGTTGTGGCAGATATTCCACCAGAGGTGAGGGAAAAATGGCGTCTGATGGGTTTTAAAGGTGAACCACATGTACGTATGAGATGAACATTATTTGTGTTTTCAGGTTCAGCTGCATGAGAGCCAGATTGAYGACAGCTTTAAGAATCTCTTCAGACAGCTGGCTGGACCCGTAAGTACACTGAAACGTGTGTGTGTGTCTGGTTTTTACCTTTTTAAGACCTTTTCTTGTATAAATACCTACCTTGTCAGGACCAATAGTCCTTTTGGRGACCAAAGTCTGGTTCTAATACAGCGGATTGCCATGTTTGAGTTGGGGGTTAGGTTTAGGACTAAGGTGTGAATTAAGGAGGGGTAGGGTTAGGCTACAGAAATGAATAAAAGTCAAAACACAGTCTTGGCAAAGATAGAAATAAACTTGTGTGTTTGATGGTGTGTTACTCGTAGGAGAGGTTCATGGTGTTCAACTCATTTGTTTGTTCCAACAGGACATGGAAATCAGTGTCACAGAGCTGCAAACCATCCTGAACAGAATCATCCAAAAACGTCAGGAACCAGTAGTTTTTTTATTTTTTTATTTTTGTTTGTTTGTTTACAAACTCTATGCATGTGATAAAACCATGTATTGGTTTTGTAATTTCAATATTCTTTATCTGCTTTTCTTATAAATAGATAAGGACCTGAAGACCGATGGCTTCGGTAAAGAAGCGTGTCGCAGCATGATAAACCTCATGGACGTATCCTTAAACAGTATTTATTTTTTACTGGTTAGTTCATTTTGAGCTAAATATAAAAGACTCTGCGAACTGTTCCTGAGCTGTTTCTCGCAGACGGACGGCAGTGGGAAGTTGGGTCTTGCAGAGTTCCATGTTCTCTGGGAGAAGATCAAACGATACCTGGTGAGACTGGAGGGCACCAAAGACCATGAAAAACTACACGTTTCTTATGTACTTATATGTAACTCGTTGATTTGTTTGAAACCAGACCATATTCAGGCAGTTTGACTTGGACAAATCCGGCACCATGAGCTCCTACGAGATGAGGATGGCTCTTGAATCTGCAGGTAGGGTTCTGATCATATGAGCAGATTGTTCCTGTTCGTTCTGCTCGGCTCATTTAAGAAGTCGTTCTGCTTGATTACTCTTGGTTGATCGTCCCTTGTTTAGGTTTCAAGCTCAACAACCACCTGTTCCAGCTGATCATCCTGCGTTACACAGAGGCCGACATGGCTGTTGACTTTGACAACTTTGTTAACTGTCTGGTCCGACTGGAGACCATGTTCAGTAAGTCACAATACTCTAGGACAGGGGTGTACGATCCTGGTCCTCGAGGGCCATTATCCTGCATGGTTTTTAGTTTTCTTTTGCTCCAACACACTTGGAATGAATGTGTGATCAAAAGGCTTCTGCATTACTTAAAGAGGTAACTCAATTGCAGAATGAGATTTTGTAGCAGAGAAACAAATAAAACCTGCAGGATAGTTACCCTCAAGGACCAGGATTGGACACCACTGCTCTAGAAACTGTGTTTTTGAAAAGGATTTATCGTTCCAACTTTGCAAACAATGGGCCTCATGCAAGAACCGTTCGTACGCACAGATTTGTTCTTAAATTGTGCGTACG